AAACCCCATCGTTTCATGTTGGTTTATATATAAGAAATCGCAATGCAACGCAACCCCATTCTAATCTAAATTGCACCATAGACATGTTCGAGTCCACCATGTTGATAGGAACCCGTGAAGACCTGAATTGAGACGAGTCCTTGCCCAGCGACCGGAGGGCGGTATGAGAGGCAGACGACGACGAAATGGACTTCAGCTACAGCAGTAACATAATTATCATCTTTCTTTCGTCTCAAGCGCATTTTCCGATCATGCAACGCACGCAGCACGCGATATTTTTGCATTTTATTTGTAACGATTCCCCTATTGTTATATCCTTTTTTAACGTCATGTTTATCATTTATATACTTATTATTTCCTTTGAACTTTTTCATGGTACGGTTTCTATCACGGCAGAGAAAATATCGTCCAGCGCATGTTTTCATTGTTTCTTTCGAAAGAACAAAATTCGAACTTCTCTGCTTGCTATTCCCTCTCTAGAAGACCTCTGGCCTGGTATGGCGCTTTCTTTTCTTTACCTTCTTGACATCCGTATACAAAGCTACCTTTCTCCTCTTTTTCCCCCCGCGCGTTCGTTTCATACCTATATTTAATTTTTAGTCACAGCGGGAGTACTTTTAACTTGATCTTACATTACATCTATGGCGGGCAGGCAGGAGGGGCGCAAATACGGGGTTATTGATTTTGATTTTTCATTTCGTGTTCTTTGCAAATTCGCGGTACATATGTTAAATGGGTTACATATTTTATTCATTTGTTATTACGGTTAACCTTTCCCCCCCTTTTATGTGATGAACTTTCTTCTTTTTTTTCTCTCTCTTTCTTTTTCTTTTCTTTTCTTTTCTTTTCTTTTCTTTTTTTTTTCTTTTCCTTGACCGAGTGCCCTCTAAGGATTAAAACCGATATGACTTGATGGAACATCGTTATGATTGATTTTATTTGATTCGATTTGATTCCCCCTCTTGCTCTAGTTATTGTAATTGAAGTTTGTTATTTTTTTTTTTGTCTTGAATCATTTAGTTCTTAATCTTCTGTTCTTTATTTAATATTATATACGTTATTTACATGATGTTATCGATCTAATTTCATTGTCGAATGTGCTGCTGGCTTTTAAGAACGCTTGTATGACGCGCGGGAGAGGAAGGGAGCACATGCTGTTGTCATTGCTAATATTGACAAAGGCTTTCCCTTAAGCTTTAGGATAGGGAGAAGCAGATATCTACCTGTATTCGATCATTCAAACAAAACCCGGAAAAGACAAATGGGTGTGTATCTGTGTCATCCTGAAAAAAAGGGATCTTATAAAGGTGAATACAAATAACAAAAAAACCTGTTCATAGGGAAAAATGGGGGCCTCTCGATATATTGTTGTCCGAAATGATGTTAAATGTCTAAGGAAATGGTATCTTCAGGGCGAATTCCAGAAAAGCTAAACCAAGTCAATAGGATGGCATTGAATGAAGATGCGACACTCGAGCCTTGACCCGACTTGGGCTCATGGTAGGGCTATTCTTGGCAACGGCCTGCCATCTCCACCCCTCTGTGCGCTGCCGCCCCTATCTCCCAACAGAGGCGTAAACACACCATCGTCATCCTCATCTCCATTCGCGTTCGCATGCGCACTGCCATTCCCAACCGCAACTCTAATCCCAGCTATCTCTCTCACCTTCTTTGCCCTGTAAATGACATAATGCTGCAGTATAAAAATGACATCGAAGAATATGCTTACATTACCCAGCAACAGTTTGATCGGGTTCCCGGTGACGCCGCTCCAATCACCGCCTTGCGCAGAGTCAATGAGCAGTTGTGAGATAGAAAGTACGCCGCCGGAAAAATCGAGGAGGATGGCTGAGATGCTCCAGCCGACTGTTGATTTGCGTTTGTAGTTCACCCAGGCTTGCGGGATGTATTTTATTATCGTTATGATGAGTTTTATGTAGGAGAGGGCGTAGCACTTTTTGGTTGGGTGGAGTGTTAGCTATAGTAATCGGGAATTCTAAAGGGAAAATTATGTTTATTAGAGGGCCGGAAAAAGGGGATGCGAAAACGTACCACGTCTATCCACGCCCAATCCTTCGCCTCGAGACTACTTCCGGTCCCCCGCGCCGCAACAACAACCACCAATATCGACACAGCCAGAGTACAGCCCCAAAACACCCCAACAATTGGCGTGCTTATCTTCTGAAACTTCGATACCCTAAACCCCCATATCGCCGGGAAAAACTGGCTGAAGACCAGCAAGCTAAGTATGACGGCATGCGCAGCGAAGGCCAGGTCGTTGAGACGCACGGTGGGTTCCGGGGCGATGGGGTAGCGGGAGGCATATTGGCGGCGGATCAGTGGGGAGTAGAGGAATGTTGCTGTGTAGATTAGGTAGGAGATGAAGCCAAGGGCGTTTGTGGCTGGGAAGTCGATGGCGAGCCCGTGGGTGGAGCGGCGGCGGTAGTTTAGGATTGGTTGGGGGTAGAAGGAGGCGGACCAGCAGATTGTGCTGTGAGGGTTGGAGAGGGAGCTGGTTAGGGGAGGGGTCTTTTGGGAATAGGGATAGTGGTTTGAAGGGGATAGAATAGGGGATGGTTGCTGGGAAATGTGGGGGATGAATGACATACTAGATCCAGCCGAGGAGGCTGCAAAGGTCGAGGGGATATCATATTAGCAACTCCTTTTGGGTTTTTGGGATTGGTAAGGGGAAGGGGAAATAGCCACCCACCGTGATAGCGCCCTGACGAATACTTCACCCCGCATTACCATGGTGTTCTTTCGTTGCGGCTACGGGGGAGGTTCACTCAGAAGGAGGTTGGAGAAGGATGTAAAAAAGGGGGTAGTCTGTTTGGCTTGGATTGAAGGGGGGGGCCGTCCGCATGACGAACGAAACATGGACCCCAGAGATAGGTCAGGTGAAGACGGCGACCACTAGCTACATGGTGAGCAGTAGAAATGGTATACGTCCCCAATTTATTTATTTTACTGGTTGATGTGGAGATGCGACGACCTTCGACGCCGCACGGGTTGATTCAAGCCGGGAATGTGGGAGTTGTCGTTTGGAGCAGCTGTTGGTTGTTTGCATGGTTTGCATCACCATTTGCTGCCCTCGCGGATCTACAAAGAAGCCAACGGATGGAATGCAAATGGTTAATGTGAGATAGATGTATGTATGTATCTAGCTGCTCCATGTTTTACTCCGCCCACATCAGAGAGTCTTATTTACTTATCAGGCTTCTTTTCCATTCTGCCTCCTCAAATAACGCGTGATATCATCGATCCAACAGTGACGTCATGGAAAAGGGTATGTAGTCAGCTAGGTTAGTTAACTAACTAACTATAACTAAACTAGTTAACTAACAGTTATAGTACCGTAATTACCATACGGTTGTCCTGGTTCTGAGTTGGCGGTGCTAAGCCAGAAACGGCAAACCGTTTACGCCCAGCTCTGTTCCCCGCCGGCCTGACAGGGAAGGCACAACTGGCCGCATCTCCAGCAAGGACGAATACGCACCTACCTAAGCAACGCACATAGTATGTGATGTATCTCCCCTCGTAATATTTGCCTGGCGTGACCTCAGCCCCATCCTCGTCCGCAATCTCCACCTCAACCCATCATAACAACAACATCTCCATAACTTCATCCTGTTGTCTTGCTTCGCTTTGTTACGCTGTATACTGAACAGGATCTGATATTCCCCCCCTCCCCCACGATGTTCACGGTGTACGATTAGTCTATCTATCCATAGACTCTGTGCTGAACAGTGCAATCCACTCTCTTCCTCTACCATTATATATTTCCTCCCGTTTTAACGCTCGCCAACGTCTGCCCAATTTCCACAGCATCTATCTCCCAAATTGCATGCGCCTGGGCAAAAGCACTACAGATCATATTCCTAGTTACTCAGTATCCGTTTATCAAACTCCGTACCAGTCACAGACTACTGGCATGCCCTTGAAAGAACGATCGCTTAATTAACGTTGGTTCTGGCTTATGGTGCATTCCTCGGGGCGAGGGATCTTGTATAGGTCTCCTCAGCTGGGCTCCGACGGTATTGCACTCAAGGGGAGTTGGGAGCTGCAGCCTAGTACAACAAGGCGGGGGAAGTGCGGTACAGTTTAATCACCTGGCCTGGACGGGCAACGGGCCGTCAATTGAGGCCGGAACATGTCTCCTTCTCCGCAACTGGCCCCGCCGGGATCCAGTACCTACTCGTCAAATATCTTAAACGTTGGGGATGGAACATGGGACTCCCAGCGGAATACCTTCCTTTTACCCAATTTGATGGGCTTGAACTTTGAGGCTATGAGATATAATGGTTAGTAGACATAGGATTTTCTTTCTCTTTCTTATCCCCCGTGGCATGGCTAATATGAAAAAATTGCGGCAAAGCTGTAGCTAACACAAACTCATATAGGCATGGGAAACAGATTTCGAGAAATGGCCGGTTACCATTCATTAATTCGAGCACACGGCGTGATAGCTGCCATAACATTCCTCTGCCTCATTCCCACTGCCATACTGATGGCCAGATTCTATTCTCCATCGCCTTACTGGGCCCTGAGATATCATATATGGCTTCATATTCTTTCGTTGTTTTTATCAACCGTCGTTTTCGCCCTGGGTTGGTTCGCTGTTGGGCCCAGAAGGAGTTTGACAAATCCACATCATGGCATTGGGTTGGCTATATATGTTATGATCATTGTGCAGACGTTCTGGGGTTGGTTTGTTCATAAGCGCACAAAGAACAAGCGGTTATACAATATTCCACTAAAGCTCATGGTAAGTTTGCGACTGTAGCATTCAAACTCAGGTTATAATTGCTGACGAGAATCAGTTCCATAAATGGTTGGGTCGAGGCCTGGCTTTACTTGGAATTGTCCAAATCCCCCTTGGACTAACTCTTTACGGATCGCCACTGGCACTTTTCGTTCTCTATGCCCTCGCTATATTTACTCTCGTTGTAATTTATTTCGTCCTCACCTACCTCCATGAACGCCGAATGGGTGCAGACTACGACAGCCGGGGAAGTTACATGTCAGGTCCGGAAGTCGTTGAAGATGGACATGGTCACAACAACTTAGGCCGTCTTGCGACTGCTGGGGCTGCCGGAGCAGGCCTTGCCATGCTAGGAAGGCGAATGAGAAGGCAATCCGGGAGCGGAACATCTGTAGATGAATCAGACGTAACGCCTCGGCCACACCATGAAGACGAAAAACATGATAACCGGGGGAGAGGATGGGGGAAACGATTTGTCCAAATAAGGGCTTTAGCAGGGGCTGCGGGGTTGGCAAAAAGATATTTTGACAAACGCCGTGACCGAGAGAGCGATACAGAGTCGGGAAGATATGGACCTGCTGATGGACACGGTCATGGTCACGGTCATGGACACCATGACAGCTTGTACGATGATTCTTTAATCCACACAGAGGAAGGAAGACCACCACCCAGCCATCCACGGCCATACGACAGACCTCCTGGCCGCCTGCCAAGCCCGGAATACACGGACAGCGGGTACATGTATGGCAGTGAATCGCACCATGGGAGCAGGAACGCTCTTTTTGGCGCTGGTGCATTTGCTGCATTGAGAGGACTATTCAAGAGCAGGGAGAGAAGAGAACAGGACCGTGTCCACGAACTGCGACGGCAGGATATTGAAAATGAGCGAAGGGCAAGACAGAGCGTGAAACACCGGAGATTTACGGGAGATGGCCAGCCACCCCGCAGAACAGGGCGGAGAGGTTCATTTAGCACAGAGATGACAGAAAGCACAGATCCGCACGTCGCGCCACCACCGGACGATATCCGTCCCATCCCACCCAGCCACCAAACCACCCCAGGACCCGACACTGCCACTTCAATCGGCGGAAGACGCCCCACGGATGCGGCAGCTGCAGTAACAGCCAACTCCAGCCGTCGCCGCCGCAGCGGCGGCGGCCGCGAGAAACCCCTTCGACTCCAAACCCGTCTCCTTCAAAGGTCAAATTCCAAAACGATCAAGGAACGTCGCGGTGCCGTTGGCGCCGTCTGACCCCGGGGAAG